TTAGAGCGGGCGGACTGCGGCGGGGTCGGCGCCCAGCGGAGGACTGCGGATCTCACATAATGGGTTCTAAAGGATAATGAGCCATTACCGGAAACATTAGAACCAAAAACACACTGCGAAGTTTGTTAGTTTGAGAAAAAAGTGAGAAACCTCCTCAGGGAGAGAAAGAGGGATCCACAAACAGACAGGCCTCATGGACTGAGGCCTCTCTCTCCCTCTCTCTCTCTTTTCCCTCCCATTCTCTCTCACACTCACTCTCTCCCTGTCTCTGTCTTTCTCTCTCACTCTATCTCTCTCTCTCCCTGTCTCTCTCTTTCTCTCCCACTCTTTCTCTATCTCTCTCCTGCTCTTTCTCTCTCTCCCTCCCTCTCCCTCTCTCTGTTACTCTCTCTCTCTCTCCCTCTCTCTCCCTCTCTCTCTCTCTTTCGCTCTACCTCCCTCCCACTTTCTCTCTCTCCCACTCTTCCTCTCTCTGTCTCTCTCTCTCTCCCAGCAAAGGAGTGTGGATCACACATAATGGGCTCTAAAGGATAATGAGTGATTACCGGAACAATTAGAACCAAAAACACACTGCTATGGTTCCTCGTGTGTGTTTGTTTAGTGTGTGTTGTGGGGACACTGGGATTATGATGTTATGATGTAAAGTCAGTTCATGTTCAGGGTGAGTGAGGCCGGAGCCACAGCAGGAGGCAGAGAAGCTCAGAGAGAAAAGAGAGAAACCTCCTCAGGGAGAGCCATGTGGAAAGAGAGATCCCCGGGCGGACAGGCTGCAGGTCCTGGACTGAGGCCTCTCTCTCTCTCTCTGTCTGTCTCTCTCTCCCTCCCTCCCTCTCTCTCTCTCTCCCTCCCACTCTCTCCCGCTCACTCTCTCTCTCTCTCCCTCTCCCTCCCTCTCTCTCCCTCCCTCTCTGTCTCTCTCTCTCTCCCTCCCTCCCGCTCTCTCTCTTTCCCTCTCCCTCCCTCTCTCTCCCTCTCTCTCTCTCTCCCTCCCTCTCCCTCTCCCTCCCTCTCTCTCTCTCTGTCCTGCTTTTCACTTACAATTATCCCGAGCGTCCTTCGGCCTCATCATCTGTGGTGAGTTTAGCGCTGGGTTATGAGGAGCACTGACAGATCAGATTAAGTCGTTCTGACGCGGCTGGTGTGAAAGAAGATTCTAATTCTGGATAATTAGCTGACGAGAGCAGGGGGGGGCGAGGGGGGAGAACAAGGGGAGGAGGGGGGGAGGGTTGCGAGAGAGCAGGCTGAGGCGAAGTGGCAGTGCGTCGTAAGCACTTTTAATCAACTGCTAGCTTAAATATCGATTATAGACTAAAGTTAGAAATACAGTAGATGCCCCCCCCCCCTTTTCCATGAAGCTGTTTACAATTAATAAATAAACTGAATCTTTATACATTATCTAGTTATTGTTTTATCATACTTTTTTGAATAATGAGTCTGTATTAGCTCCAGATGCCCAGATGACCCAGATGACCCTAATCTGTCATCATTAAAGGGCCCTAATCTGTCATCATTAAAGGGCCCTAATCTGTCATCATTAAAGGGCCCTAATCTGTCATCATCAAAGGGCCCTAATCTGTCATCATTAAAGGGCCCTAATCTGTCATCATTAAAGGGCCCTAATCTGTCATCATCAAAGGGCCCTAATCTGTCATCATTAAAGGGCCCTAATTTGTCATAATTAAAGGGCCCTAATCTGTCATCATTAAAGGGCCATAATCTGTCATCAGGGCCATAATCTGTCATAATAATGAACTGCTCTTTTCCAATACTTCTTTAACTGAAAACAGTCGTTCAGAGATATTTGAATTTATAAATTACTTTTCCAGCCTCTAAATCTTGTTATTGTTTTCATTTCGATGTCCCGCCCTCCACCGTTTCACCAATCAGAAAGTCTGTGATCCGGGCGCCAGAATTTACCGCGTGGAGCTAATCTCACTGGTAAAGTACCATGTGGCACAGAGCTAAAAAACAGACCACAGAGAGACCAGGGAGAGACCTATGGGCCAATGGTTCTGGTCCAGAATAACCCGGTCCATAAACATAAACACATATTAATAAACTAGTTTTTATTGTGTAAGTTTATTTTCTTACTGATAATAATAATACATAATTTTACTATAATCTCAAACCTCTCGTGTCTTTGTTTACAGACGCTACAGAGAGCCACAGAAAGAGTTTTGGGGCCATAAACAGAGAGTCCACAGTCCCGGGCTTTCTTCTGGCGGTCAGGAGTGTAGGCCTAATGTGCAGTGACACCAGGGACGTACGGGTCTTTACACCGAGGGCTCCGCGTTCATGGTCATTAAAGCCCAAAGCGCTGGAGAGAACAATGACCCCTAATGAGCAAGAGCCATTGTGTGTGTGTGTATGTGTGTGTGCGTGCATGTGTGTGTTTGTGTGTGTGTGTGTTTGCGTGTATGTGTGTGTGTGCATGTGTGTGTGTGTGTGTGTGTGTATGTGTGTGTGTGCATGTGTGTGTGCATGTGTGTATGTGTGTGTGTATGTGTGTGTGTGCGTGCATTTGTGTGTGCATAGATATAGAGAGAGAGCCATAGATTGATAGAGTTATATAGAGATAGACAGAAAGAGATTTTGTTTTTATTTAATTAGTATGTGTGCTCCTCATTGCAACTGTTCAATAACTTGTGATGCAACACTGAAATTTCCCCGCTGTGGGACGAACAAAGGCTCTCTTAATCTGAATAATAATAAATAGAGATATAGGGACATGGCTTCTCCATGTCCCTATATTTAGGGACGTCCAGAGTCGTTGATGATGATATAAAAATGGCCGCTCTCAGGTTCAGTCTGTGACTGTGACTGAGGCTGAATAACATCCAACCCTCTGATCCCTGAGTGCTTATGTTCTCAAGCACCCAGAACACTCAGATCCCTGACCATATCCACACATTTACCAAGTTAACCATCCATGAACGTCTATATGTGAGACGCTGACCCGGCAGTTAAGCCCGGCGCCAGGGTCCCAGCACGCCGCACAGGGAGGGCTCAGCCAACCGTGGACTAGGTAGGGCCCCAGTCAGAGGAACCAGACACAATGACCAGGACCTGGGCTTTTGAAATGATATCTATTACTATTAGTGACAGCGGTTCCATACAGCTCGCCTTGATGGTTCTGAGGTCTGACAAGGTGAGCACGGTGACGCTGATGGCGCTCGGCACAAATCAGAATCGCTTTAGTGCATCGGCAGCACTACACTCCGCTGAACCTAAACCTCTGGCCTCGGACTCAGACTCAGACTCAGACTCACGCAGAAGGAGAGAGAAGGAGCAAAAGTAGTGTTGTTTAAATATGTATATATGTGTATTTATAAGTTTTCATATGTGTGTGTGTGGGGGTTTAGGGGTCGGGGTTTCAGGGAGCGAGAGGGAGACCAGAGAGAGACCAGAGAGACCAGAGAAAGAGACCAGAGAGACCAGAGAGAGGGCCAGAGAGAGGCCAGGGAGAGGCCAGGGAGAGACCAGAGAGAGACCAGAGAGACCAGAGAGACCAGAGAGAGGCCAGGGAGAGACCGGAGAGAGACCAGAGAGAGGCCAGGGAGAGACCAAAGAGACCAGAGAGAGACCAGAGAGAGACCAGAGGTACCCTGAAAGAAAGACCAGAGAGAGACCAGAGAGAAACCAGAGAGTGAGACCAGAGAGCGAGACTAGAGAAACCAGAGAGAGACCAGAGAAAGACCCGAAAGAGAAAAGAGAGAGACCAGAGGGAGACCTGAGAGAGAAACCAGAGAGACCAGAGAGAAACAGATCAGAAAGAGACCAGAGAGAAACCAGAGAGAGACAAGAGAGAGACCAGAGAGAGAGACTAGAGAGACCAGAGAGAGACCAGAAAGAAAGGCCAGGGAGAGACTAGAGAGAGACCATAGGACTAGAGCGAGGAACTAGAGACCAAATTGAGAGACCAAAGTGAGAGACCAAAGTGAGAGACCAGAGAGAGGGGGTAGAGAGAGATCAAAGACAATGTTCACACAAAAAGACCACAGAGAGAGACCAGGACACTCTGTTTGTAACCAATGCTGGCACTAAAAAGTGTCCAGCACTTTGTGAGACTTTGTAAAATGTAGATGACTTACAACAGCAGAGTTCCAGAGAGAACACAAAGAGAGCACGGCACTCAGCAGAGGGGCCTGGAGCCTCCATGCCAGCACCATCTCCTCTCCACCTCCGGACCCGCTCCCGACTCTCTCCAACCCACGATTACTTCTGTCAACCTCCATATCCTTGATCTCAAAAGCCTGCGCTCTCCAGACAGTGGCACTGGCAGCAGACAAGGCACTGGGGATGACTCCGGAGACCCCTGGTAAGATGGTAAACAGGCACACCAGCTTCTGCAGGCGTGCCAGGCGTGCAGAGAGAGAGAGAGACCCCCCCAGGGCACGCAGAGGAAGTGAGCCTCCACCGCAGAGACCATCCGTGGCTCCGGAGATGCCCTGGTGTGACACGGGCTGTCCCATGAGATCCGGGCCGGAGGTTCCCTGGGGTGCTACGGGCTCCATATGCACCCATCACTACGATCAGGCTTCTGCGCTGAAGGAAGCCGAGTCCCTGGTTCCGCTGGTATTATCTGGATGGATCGGCGCCGCTGGTCACAAACTAAAGGTCAAGAAGATTCACAGAGGAAGCAGTCGGATACCTGCAGAGGAATGTGTCATAGAGCCACTGTGTTGGCGTTTGGACACACAGAGAGAGAGCAGAGAGAGGGCAGAGAGAGAGCAGAGAGAGAGCAGAGAGAGAGCAGAGAGAGAGCAGAGAGAGGGCAGAGAGAGAGCAGAGAGAGAGCAGAGAGAGGGCAGAGAGAGGGCAGAGAGAGAGCAGAGAGAGAGCAGAGAGAGAGCAGAGAGAGAGCAGAGAGAGAGCAGAGAGAGAGCAGAGAGAGGGCAGAGAGAGAGCAGAGAGAGAGCAGAGAGAGAGCAGAGAGAGAGCAGAGAGAGGGCAGAGAGAGAGCAGAGAGAGAGCAGAGAGAGAGCAGAGAGAGAGCAGAGAGAGGGCAGAGAGAGAGCAGAGAGAGAGCAGAGAGAGGGCAGAGAGAGGGCAGAGAGAGAGCAGAGAGAGAGCAGAGAGAGAGCAGAGAGAGAGCAGAGAGAGAGCAGAGAGAGGGCAGAGAGAGAGCAGAGAGAGGGCAGAAAGAGAGCAGAGAGAGAGCAGAGAGAGAGCAGAGAGAGGGCAGAGAGAGAGCAGAGAGAGGGCAGAGAGAGAGCAGAGAGAGAGCAGAGAGAGAGCAGAGAGAGAGCAGAGAGAGAGCAGAGAGAGAGCAGAGAGAGAGCAGAGAGAGACCAGAGAGAGACCAGAGAGAGGCCAGAGAGAGACTAAACTTACTCACTTTATAAAACATGTTTGAAGAATACTGTTGATGTTAATGGGAGCAGTCAAAATGACTGCTGTGTGAGTTCATGAATTGTGTTTCTGGTCAGTGGCTCCTCTGTGTTTGTGCTGTTTGATTTTCTGATCTGTTGTTGAAGAATCACCAACTGCTGTGATCTAAGGCTTTACACAACACACTGAAGTGAATGGTGCAATACCATGTGGTCTTCCCCTATGGTCCAATACCATGTGGTCTCTCTATGGTCCAATACCATGTGGTCTTTCCTTATGGTCCAATACCATGTGGTCTCTCCCTTTGGTCCAATACCATGTGGTCTCTCCCTATGGACCTCTGGGTAGTGCTGTGATGGTAGACCTCTGGGTAGTGCTGTGATGGTAGACCTCTGGGTAGTGCTGTGATGGCAACAGTGGGTCTAGCCCAGATAAAGCGCTGTAAAAAAATCCGATGCATTATCACTAGTAGATTAAATTAGAGAAATAATGCAAATATAGGATAATGTTTACAACACAGATGAATATATCTGCATATATGTGAGACTGTACAAATATGCTATTGCTAGTTGTTTACATGAATTACTCAGAGAGTCACTGGGGGAAGTTGTAGAGATTTAGTTTTCCTTTGTGGCTGTTTCATCGGACCATGTTTCTCTGAGCAGTGATTATCTCTCTCATACACACACACACATACACCTACCCACACACACACACACACACACACACACACACACACACACACACACACACACACACACTCTCTTTCAGGGAGGGCTGTGTGTCCGTGGGTCTTGCCTCCCCACAGCCAGGGTCTTCTGGCAGGTCGTAAAAGATAATTGTGTTCCTGCACTTTTTAAGAGGTCTCCAACAAGTGCTGCAGGGTGGTCAAGGGGACTGGACTGTGCGTGTGTGTGTGTGTGTGTGTGTGTGTGTGTGTGTGTGTGTGTGTGTGTGTGTGTGTGCGTGTGTGCGTTTTATTTTGTTTGTCTTATACCATCTGAGTGTGGTAGTGTCATGTATTGCTGTACCATTATGTAATTTTGAATTTTACTGCCTATTATTGTTTTTGTGTGTACGTGTGTATGTGAGTGAGTGTGTGTGTGTGTTAGCTTGTGCTTGTGTGTTGTTTGGTTTTGCCTGTCTTATACCTTCCATGGTATTGTCCTGTATTGTATTATTGCACCGTTATGTGGTTTTGTTTCTTCTGCATGATTTTAGTGTTTGTGTGTGTGTGTGTGTGTGAGTGTGTGTGTGTGTGTGTATGTGTGTGTGTATGTGCGTGTTTGTGTAATTGTGTGTTAGCCTGTGTGTGGCCCTCCAGACCAGCCACACACTTCTTCAGGGAGTCGTTTCTCTCCAAATTCAGTCCTGCTCTAACTTCATGAGGTGTGTGTGGAGCTAATGGCACCAGGACCTTGTAACCCAGACTCAGGGGCCCTCACCGCCCAGGGGCCCTCACCGCCCAGGGGCCCTCACTGCCCACTCTCTGCTGTGGTGGCAGAGAATTTTGGCCCTGTTCAGACAAAGATAATCATGCCTAAACCCAAAAATGTCATATACACCCTTTTTATCTGAATAAGTTCATCTATGAAACCAGTGGAAAGACCAGAGAGAGACCAGAGAGACCAGAGAGAGACCAGAGAGAGACCAGAGAGAGACCGGAGAGAGGCCAGAGAGAGACCAGAGAGAGACCAGAGAGAGACCAGAGAGACCAGAGAGAGACCAGAGAGAGACCAGAGAAAGACCAGAGAGAGGCCAGAGAGAGACCAGAGAGAGACCAGAGAGAGACCAGAGAGACCAGAGAGAGACCAGAGAGACCAGAGAGAGACCGGAGAGAGACCAGAGAGAGACCAGAGAGAGACCGGAGAGAGACCAGAGAGAGACCAGAGAGACCAGAGAGAGACCAGAGAGAGACCAGAGAGAGACCAGAGAGAGGCCAGAGAGAGACCAGAGAGAGACCAGAGAGAGACCAGAGAGACCAGAGAGAGACCAGAGAGAGACCAGAGAGAGACCAGAGAGAGGCCAGAGAGAGACCAGAGAGAGACCAGAGAGAGACCAGAGAGACCAGAGAGAGACCAGAGAGAGACCGGAGAGAGACCAGAGAGAGACCGGAGAGAGACCAGAGAGAGACCAGAGAGACCAGAGAGAGACCAGAGAGAGACCAGAGAGAGACCAGAGAGAGGCCAGAGAGAGACCAGAGAGAGACCAGAGAGACCAGAGAGAGACCAGAGAGAGACCGGAGAGAGACCAGAGAGAGACCAGAGAGAGACCGGAGAGAGACCAGAGAGAGACCAGAGAGACCAGAGAGAGACCAGAGAGAGACCAGAGAGAGACCAGAGAGAGGCCAGAGAGAGAGACCAGAGAGAGACCAGAGAGACCAGAGAGAGACCAGAGAGAGACCAGAGAGAGACCAGAGAGAGGCCAGAGAGAGACCAGAGAGAGACCAGAGAGAGACCAGAGAGACCAGAGAGAGACCAGAGAGAGACCGGAGAGAGACCAGAGAGAGACCAGAGAGAGACCGGAGAGAGACCAGAGAGAGACCAGAGAGACCAGAGAGAGACCAGAGAGAGACCAGAGAGAGGCCAGAGAGAGACCAGAGAGAGACCAGAGAGAGACAAGAGAGAGACCAGAGAGAGACAAGAGAGAGACCAGAGAGAGACAAGAGAGAGACCGGAGAGAGACCAGAGAGAGACCAGAAAGAGACCAGAGAGAGACCAGAGAGAGACCAGAGAGACCAGAGAGAGACCAGAGAGAGACCAGAGAGAGACCAGAGAGAGGCCAGAGAGAGACCAGAGAGAGACCAGAGAGAGACCGGAGAGAGACCAGAAAGAGACCAGAAAGAGACCAGAGAGAGACCAGAGAGAGACCAGAGAGACCAGAGAGAGACCAGAGAGAGACCAGAGAGAGACCAGAGAGAGACCAGAGAGAGACCAGAGAGAGGCCAGAGAGAGACCAGAAAGAGACCAGAGAGAGACCAGAGAGAGACCAGAGAGACCAGAGAGAGACCAGAGAGAGACCAGAGAGAGACCAGAGAGAGACCAGAGAGAGACCAGAGAGAGGCCAGAGAGAGACCAGAAAGAGACCAGAGAGAGACCAGAGAGAGACCAGAGAGAGACCAGAGAGAGACCAGAGAGAGGCCAGAGAGAGACCAGAGAGAGACCAGAGAGAGACCAGAGAGAGACCAGAAAGAGACCAGAAAGAGACCAGAGAGAGACCAGAGAGAGACATAGAGACCAGTGTAAAAAGACCATAAAGACCCTCCCTTCTGCGCTGACTCCGTGTTTACAGTTGAGTTAATTTGAAAAAGCGCAGGATGTGACTGAAAACAAAGTGATAAAGCGATTGATTGAAGCCTGTGGAGCCGCACCTTTCACACCACAAATGTAATCATGATCGTTGAAATGCTGTTCAGATTCTGCTGACGGACGCTTCGGATCAGGCAGAAATGTGCTGCTTCTTCAATGTTTTTGTATTAAATCTCTGGATAAAGCCACATAATCACAAACACGGCGGCGAGGTGTAGCCATCGATCTCAGGTGGAAAATAAACATTGATTATTTGGCGTGTCGTTAGTTGTCACTTTCGCCGCGTGATTTTTAAAATGAGAAAAGACAAGAAGCAGAGAAAGGGCGTGGGTTTCTCCAGATATGAAGAATATACAGGTTTGATGTTGTTAAATATTAAAAAATACATGTTATTATATAGACGTGGCCTCCCACACATATGTATGCTAACACACATCTATGCTAACACACACATATGCTAACACACATCTATGCTAACACACACATATGCTAACACACATCTATGCTAACACACACATATGCTAACACACATCTATGCTAACACACATCTCTGCTAACACACACATATGCTAACACACATCTCTGCTAACACACACATATGCTAACACACATCTCTGCTAACACACACATATGCTAACACACATCTCTGCTAACACACACATATGCTAACACACATCTCTGCTAACACACACATATGCTAACACACATCTCTGCTTACACACACATATGCTAACACACACATATGCTAACACACATCTCTGCTTACACACACATATGCTAACACACACATATGCTAACACACATCTCTGCTTACACACACATATGCTAACACACACATATGCTAACACACATCTATGGTAACACACATCTATGGTAACACACATCTATGCTAACACACATCTATGCTAACACACATCTATGGTAACACACATCTATGCTAACACACATCTATGGTAACACACATCTATGGTAACACACATCTATGCTAACACACATCTATGGTAACACACATCTATGCTAACACACATCTATGGTAACACACATCTATGCTAACACACATCTATGGTAACACACATCTATGCTAACACACATCTATGCTAACACACATCTATGGTAACACACATCTATGCTAACACACATCTATGCTAACACACACATATGCTAACACACATCTATGCTAACACACATCTACTGTATGCTAACACACATCTATGCTAACACACATCTATGGTAACACACATCTATGCTAACACACATCTATGGTAACACACATCTATGGTAACACACATCTATGCTAACACACATCTATGGTAACACACATCTATGCTAACACACATCTATGGTAACACACATCTATGCTAACACACATCTATGCTAACACACATCTATGGTAACACACATCTATGCTAACACACATCTATGCTAACACACACATATGCTAACACACATCTATGCTAACACACACCGCCCCAGGCCCAGGACAGACCCATTAGTGTAGGACCGAGGCTGGAGCCGATAGCGCCACAGATACCGACCCCAAAACCTCCTGGACCGCGGCTCCTCGTCCTGTTTGGTCTGAAGTTTGAAGCTAATCAGCAGCGTTTACACAAGTCTGAATAAATGTGGCGCTTGTACCTGGACGCACAACAACAAAGAGGGTTCCGGCTCAGATTGTATCAGGTGATCAAAGGGAGCGCTCGGGCCACGCCACCGGCTTCTGGCAGCGACCATAAAACTGCACAGGCCACAAACTCTCCAAGTGCTGCTGCACAATCTGAATCTGTTATCCTTTTATTTTAGATCAAGTTAGACCTAAACACTGTTTTTGTGTTATTTTATTTGACGTGAGTTTGGAGTTTAGATTCAATCACGACTGAGTCAAATATCGTAAAGATGCATTTGAAGATTCATAGTTGTTATATTTACAGATACATAATGAACATCTCATCAGTAACTACATGTTATGAATAGGATTAAGATAGAACAACCGTTTATTGGTCTCACGGCGGGGAAATGTCAGAGTCACAGGCAGGATTTTGCCAAATGGGCCTGAATTAAAAAATACACATTTTCCCACTTTCCACGAGACTCTTATTATTAACATGAACTCTGTGTTCTTCAGATGGAGGAGCGAGAACAAGACAATCTGTTTTTTTTATCAACCACTTTTTATTGATTAGAGGCTTTTACCAAATGAGAACGTGAGAGAGGCCTCCAAAGAGAGAGAACCTCCAGAGGTCTCTCTCTGGTCTCTCTCTGGTCTTTCTGTGGTCTCTCTCTAGTCTCTCTCTGGTCTCTCTCTGGTCTCTCTCTGGTCTCTCTCTAGTCTCTCTCTGGTCTCTCTCTGGTCTCTCTCTGGTCTCTCTGGTCTCTCTCTGGTCTCTATCTCTGGTCTCTCTCTCTGGTCTCTGTCTGGTCTCTCTCTGGTCTCTCTCTCTGGTCTCTCTCTGGTCTCTCTCTGGTCTCTCTCTGGTCTCTCTCTGGTCTCTCTGGTCTCTCTCTGGTCTCTCCCCGGTCTTTCTCCGGTCTCTCTGGTCTCTCTCTGGTCTCTCTCTGGTCTATCTGGTCTCTCTCTGGTCTCTCTCTGGTCTCTCTCTAGTCTCTCTCTGGTCTCTCTGGTCTCTCTCTGGTCTCTCTCTGGTCTCTCTCTGGTCTCTCTCTGGTCTCTCTCTGGTCTCTCTCTGGTCTCTCTGGTCTCTCCCTGGTCTCTCTCTGGTCCCTGGGTTTATTGCCCCCTGAGTAGTGTGAGGTGCGACTGGAGAGAGTTGTGGCTGTTGTTTGATCACAGTAAGTCTGACCTGTCAGTAAGTGTAGGCCACACACAGAGCAGTGTTCGTTTGTGTGTGTTTTTGCGCGTGTGTGTGTCTGTGTGTGTGTGTGTCTGTCGGTGTGTGTCTGTGTGCGTGCATGCATGTGTGTGTGTTTGTGTGTGTCTATCTCTGTGTGTGTCAGTCCCACACAAAAAGCCACATACCTCACAGAGGCAGGTCAGAGTTGGTGTTTAGAGTCAGACCATCGTCAGACCATCATCAGACCATCATCAGACCATCATCAGACCATCATCAGACCATCATCAGACCATCATCAGACCATCATCAGACCATCATCAGACCATCATCAGACCATCGTCAGACCATCATCAGACCATCATCAGACCATCATCAGACCATCATCAGACCATCATCAGACCATCATCAGACCATCATCAGACCATCGTCAAACCATCATCAGACCATCATCAGACCATCATCAGACCATCATCAGACCATCATCAGACCATCGTCAAACCATCATCAGACCATCATCAGACCATCATCAGACCATCGTCAGACCATCATCAGACCATCATCAGACCATCGTCAGACCATCATCAGACCATCATCAGACCATCATCAGACCATCATCAGACCATCATCAGACCATCATCAGACCATCGTCAAACCATCATCAGACCATCATCAGACCATCGTCAGACCATCATCAGACCATCATCAGACCATCATCAGACCATCATCAGACCATCATCAGACCATCATCAGACCATCGTCAAACCATCATCAGACCATCATCAGACCATCATCAGACCATCGTCAGACCATCATCAGACCATCATCAGACCATCATCAGACCATCATCAGACCATCATCAGACCATCATCAGACCATCATCAGACCATCATCAGACCATCATCAGACCATCGTCAGACCATCATCAGACCTTCATCAGACCATCATCAGACCATCATCAGACCATCATCAGACCATCATCAGACCATCATCAGACCATCATCAGACCATCATCAGACCATCATCAGACCATCATCAGACCATCGTCAGACCATCATCAGACCTTCATCAGACCATCATCAGACCATCATCAGACCATCATCAGACCATCATCAGACCATCATCAGACCATCATCAGACCATCGATCTCAGACCATCATCAGACCATCATCAGACCATCATCAGACCATCATCAGACCATCATCAGACCATCATCAGACCATCATCAGACCATCATCAGACCTTCATCAGACCATCGTCAGACCATCATCAGACCATCGTCAGACCATCATCAGACCTTCATCAGACCATCATCAGACCATCATCAGACCTTCATCAGATCATCATCAGACCATCATCAGACCATCATCAGACCTTCATCAGACCATCGTCAGACCATCATCAGACCATCGTCAGACCATCATCAGACCTTCATCAGACCATCATCAGACCATCATCAGACCTTCATCAGATCATCATCAGACCATCATCAGACCATCGTCAGACCATCATCAGACCATCATCAGACTATCATCAGACCATCGTCAGACCATCATCAGACCATCATCAGACCATCATCAGACCATCGTCAAACCATCATCAGACCATCATCAGACCATCATCAGACCATCGTCAGACCATCGTCAGACCATCGTCAGACCATCATCAGACCATCATCAGACCATCATCAGACCATCATCAGACCATCATCAGACCATCATCAGACCATCATCAGACCATCGTCAGACCATCATCAGACCATCATCAGACCATCATCAGACCATCATCAGACCATCGTCAGACCATCATCAGACCATCATCAGACCATCATCAGACCTTCATCAGACCATCATCAGACCATCATCAGACCTTCATCAGATCATCATCAGACCATCATCAGACCATCGTCAGACCATCATCAGACCATCATCAGACCATCATCAGACCATCGTCAGACCATCATCAGACCATCATCAGACCATCGTCAAACCATCATCAGACCATCATCAGACCATGGTCAAACCATCATCAGACCATCGTCAGACCATCGTCAGACCATCATCAGACCATCATCAGACCATCATCAGACCATCATCAGACCATCATCAGACCATCATCAGACCATCATCAGACCATCATCAGACCATCGTCAGACCATCATCAGACCATCATCAGACCATCATCAGACCATCATCAGACCATCGTCAGACCATCATCAGACCATCATCAGACCATCATCAGACCATCATCAGACCATCATCAGCCCATCATCAGACATTCATCAGACCATCATCAGACCATCATCAGACCTTCATCAGATCATCATCAGACCATCATCAGACCATCGTCAGACCATCATCAGACCATCATCAGACCATCATCAGACCATCGTCAGACCATCATCAGACCATCATCAGACCATCATCAGACCATCGTCAAACCATCATCAGACCATCATCAGACCATGGTCAAACCATCATCAGACCATCGTCAGACCATCGTCAGACCATCATCAGACCATCATCAGACCATCATCAGACCTTCATCAGATCATCATCAGACCTTCATCAGACCATCATCAGAACATCATCAGACCATCATCAGACCATCATCAGACCATCATCAGACCTTCATCAGACCATCATCAGACCTTCATCAGATCATCATCAGACCATCATCAGACCTTCATCAGATCATCATCAGACCATCATCAGACCTTCATCAGATCATCATCAGACCTTCATCAGACCATCATCAGACCATCATCAGACCTTCATCAGACCTTCATCAGACCATCATCAGACCTTCATCAGACCATCATCAGACCTTCATCAGACCATCATCACACCATCATCAGACCTTCATCAGACCTTCATCAGACCTTCATCAGACCTTCATCAGACCATCATCAGACCTTCATCAGACCATCATCAGACCATCATCAGACCTTCATCAGACCTCATCGCTCATCAGACCATAGAATCAGACCTTATCAGACGATTCATCAGACCTTCATCAGACCATTCATCAGACCTTCCATCAGACCATCATCAGACCAACATCATCAGACCTTCATCAGATCATCATCAGACCATCATCAGACCTTCATCAGATCATCATCAGACCTTCATCAGACCATCATCAGACCATCATCAGACCTTCATCAGACCTTCATCAGACCATCATCAGACCATCATCAGACCATCATCAGACCATCATCAGACCTTCATCAGACCTTCATCAGATCATCATCAGACCTTCATCAGACCATCATCAGACCATCATCAGACCTTCATCAGACCTTCATCAGACCATCATCAGACCATCGTCAGACCTTCGTCAGACCATCATCAGACCTTCATCAGACCATCATCAGACCATCATCAGACCTTCATCAGACAATCGTCAGACCATCGTCAGACCATCGTCAGACCATCATCAGACCATCGTCAGACCTTCGTCAGACCATCGTCAGACCATCGTCAGACCATCGTCAGACCATCATCAGACCTTCATCAGACCTTTGTCAGACCATCGTCAGACCTTCATCAGACCATCGTCAGACCATCATCAGACCATCGTCAGACCATCGTCAGACCATCGTCAGACCATCATAATACCATCATCAGACCTTCATCAGACCATCATCAGACCATCATCAGACCATCATCAGACCATCATCAGACCTTCATCAGACCATCGTCAGACCATCATCAGACCATCATCAGACCTTCATCAGACCATCATCAGACCATCGTCAAACCATCATCAGACCATCATCAGACCATCATCAGACCTTCATCAGACCATCATCAGACCATCATCAGACCTTCATCAGACCATCATCAGACCTTCATCAGACCATCGTCAGACCATCATCAGACCATCATCAGACCTTCATCAGACCATCATCAGACCTTCATCAGACCATCGTCAGACCATCATCAGACCATCATCAGACCTTCATCAGACCATCATCAGACCTTTATCAGACCATCGTCAGACCATCATCAGACCATCATCAGACCTTCATCAGACCATCATCAGACCATCGTCAGACGATCATCAGACCTTCATCAGACCTTCATCAGACCATCATCAGACCTTCATCAGACCTTCATCAGACCATCATCAGACCATCGTCAGACCTTCGTCAGACCATCGTCAGACCATCATCAGACCATCATCAGACCATCATCAGACCATCATCAGACCTTCATCAGACCTTCATCAGACCATCATCAGACCATCATCAGACCTTCATCAGACCATCATCAGACCATCGTCAGACCATCATCAGACCTTCATCAGACCATCATCAGACCATCGTCAGACCATCGTCAGACCATCGTCAGACCATCATCAGACCATCGTCAGACCATCATCAGACCATCATCAGACCATCATCAGACCTTCATCAGACCTTCATCAGACCATCATCAGACCATCATCAGACCTTCATCAGACCATCATCAGACCATCGTCAGACCATCATCAGACCATCATCAGACCTTCATCAGACCATCATCAGACCATCGTCAGACCATCGTCAGACCATCGTCAGACCATCGTCAGACCATCGTCAGACCATCATCAGACCATCGTCTGACCATCGTCAGACCATCATCAGACCTTCATCAGACCATCGTCAGACCATCGTCAGACCATCATCAGACCATCATCAGACCATCGTCAGACCATCGTCAGACCATCGTCAGACCATCGTCAGACCATCGTCAGACCATCATCAGACCATCATCAGACCATCGTCAGACCATCATCAGACCATCATCAGACCTTCATAAGACCATCATCAGACCATCATCAGACCATCGTCAGACCATCGTCAGACCATCATCAGACCATCATCAGACCATCGTCAGACCATCGTCAGACCATCATCAGACCATCATCAGACCATCATCAGACCATCATCAGACCTTCATCAGACCATCATCAGACCTTCATCAGACCAACGTCAGACCATCATCAGACCATCATCAGACCATCATCAGACCATCGTCAGACCATCGTCAGACCATCGTCAGACCATCGTCAGACCATCATCAGACCATCATCAGACCTTCATCAGACCTTCATAAGACCTTCATCAGACCTTCATCAGACCATCGTCAGACCATCGTCAGATCATCATCAGACCATCATCAGACCTTCATCAGACCATCATCAGACTTTCATCAGACCATCATCAGACCTTCATCAGACCATCATCAGACCTTCATCAGACCTTCATCAGACCATCATCAGACCATCGTCAGACCTTCGTCAGACCATCATCAGACCTTCATCAGACCTTCATCAGACCATCATCAGACCATCATCAGACCATCGTCAGACCATCATCAGACCATCATCAGACCATCCTCAGACCATCATCAGACCATCGTCAGACCATCGTCAGACCATCATCAGACCTTCATCAGACCTTCATCAGACCATCGTCAGACCATCATCAGACCATCATCAGACCTTCATCAGACCATCATCAGACCATCATCAGACTTTCATCAGACCATCATCAGACCTTCATCAGACCATCATCAGACCTTCATCAGACCTTCATCAGACCATCATCAGACCATCGTCAGACCTTCGTCAGACCATCATCAGACCTTCATCAGACCTTCATCAGACCATCGTCAGACCATCATCAGACCACCAGACCTTCATCAGACCATCATCAGACCATCATCAACCATCAGATCAGACTTCATCAGACCATCAGATCAGACCATCATCAGACCATGACCATCATCAGACCATCATCACGTCAGACCATCAGTCAGACCATCGTCAGACCTCCATCGTACACATCAACCATCAGACCATCGTCAGACATCAGCCATCTCACCTTCATCAGACCATCATCAGACCATCTCATAATCAGACCATCATCAGCCATCATCAGATCCATCATCAGATCATCAGACCATCATCATCAGCATCATCAGACCTTCATCAGACCATCATCGACCATCATCAGACCATCTCACCATCGCAGACCACATCAACTTCCACATCATCAGACCATCATCAGACCACATCAGACATCATCAGACCTTCATCAGAACTTCATCAGACCTTCATCAGACCATCATCAGACCATCGTCAGACCTTCGTCAGACCATCATCAGACCTTCATCAGACCTTCATCAGACCATCATCAGACCATCATCAGACCATCGTCAGACCATCATCAGACCATCATCAGACCATCATCAGACCATCGTCAGACCATCATCAGACCATCATCAGACCTTCATCAGACCATCATCAGACCATCATCAGACCATCATCAGACCATCATCAGACCTTCATCAGAACTTCATCAGACCTTCATCAGACCATCATCAGACCATCGTCAGACCTTCGTCAGACCATCATCAGACCTTCATCAGACCTTCATCAGACCATCATCAGACCATCATCAGACCATCGTCAGACCATCATCAGACCATCATCAGACCTTCATCAGAACTTCATCAGACCTTCATCAGACCATCATCAGACCATCGTCAGACCTTCGTCAGACCATCATCAGACCTTCATCAGACCTTCATCAGACCATCATCAGACCATCATCAGACCATCGTCAGACCATCATCAGACCATCATCAGACCATCGTCAGACCATCGTCAGACCATCATCAGACCTTCATCAGACCTTCATCAGACCATCATCAGACCATCATCAGACCTTCATCAGACCATCATCAGACTTTCATCAGACCATCATCAGACCTTCATCAGACCATCATCAGACCTTCATCAGACCTTCATCAGACCATCATCAGACCATCGTCAGACCTTCGTCAGACCATCATCAGACCTTCATCAGACCATCATCAGACCTTCATCAGACCATCATCAGACCTTCATCAGACCATCATCAGACCATCATCAGACCATCCTCAGACCATCATCAGACCATCGTCAGACCATCATCAGACCATCGTCAGACCATCGTCAGACCATCATCAGACCTTCATCAGACCTTCATCAGACCATCATCAGACCATCATCAGACCTTCATCAGACCATCATCAGACTTTCATCAGACCATCATCAGACCTTCATCAGACCATCATCAGACCTTCATCAGACCTTCATCAGACCATCATCAGACCATCGTCAGACCTTCGTCAGACCATCATCAGACCTTCATCAGACCATCATCAGACTTTCATCAGACCATCATCAGACCTTCATCAGACCATCATCAGACCATCATCAGACCATCCTCAGACCATCATCAGACCATCGTCAGACCATCATCAGACCATCGTCAGACCATCGTCAGACCATCATCAGACCTTCATCAGACCTTCATCAGACCATCGTCAGACCATCATCAGACCATCATCAGACCTTCATCAGACCATCATCAGACTTTCATCAGACCATCATCAGACCATCATCAGACCTTCATCAGACCTTCATCAGACCTTCATCAGACCATCATCAGACCATCATCAGACCATCGTCAGACCTTCGTCAGACCTTCGTCAGACCATCATCAGACCTTCGTCAGACCATCATCAGACCATCATCAGACCATCATCAGACCATCGTCAGACCATCATCAGACCATCGTCAGACCATCGTCAGACCATCGTCAGACCATCGTCAGGCTATCGTCAGACCATCGTCAGACCTTCATCAGACCTTCATCAGACCATCATCAGACCTTCATCAGAACTTCATCAGACCTTCATCAGACCTTCATCAGACCTTCATCAGACCATCATCAGACCATCATCAGACCATCATCAGACCATCGTCAGACCTTCATCAGACCTTCATCAGACCATCATCAGACCATCGTCAGACCATCGTCAGACCATCATCAGACCATCATCAGACCATCATCAGACCATCATCAGACCATCATCAGACCTTCATCAGACCATCGTCAGACCATCATCAGACCATCATCAGACCATCATCAGACCATTATCAGACCTTCATCAGACCATCATCAGACCTTCATCAGACCTTCATCAGACCATCGTCAGACCATCATCAGACCATCATCAGACCATCATCAGACCTTCATCAGACCATCATCAGACCTTCATCAGACCATCGTCAGACCATTGTCAGACCAACTTCACAGTTTGTTATACAAAGGGTTTGTTTTACAGCAAACAAGAGATTACACATTGAACTTTGTTCCAGATGTCAGCAGAGTGAGTCTGAAACTCTGACTCCTCATGTTTAGTCTTTATGCCGGGACCAGCAGGAGGCCAGTCCCTGTGCTCCTCAGAGTCCCAGCAGGAGGCCAGTCCCTGTGCTCCTCAGAGTCCCAGCAGGAGGCCTGTCCCTGTGCTCAGAGTCCCAGCAGGAGGCCAGTCCCTTTGCTCCTCAGAGTCCCAGCAGGAGGCCAGTCCCAGTGCTCCTCAGAGTCCCAGCAGGAGTCCAGTCCCTGTGCTCCTCAGAGTCCCAGCAGGAGGCCAGTCCCTGTGCTCCTCAGAGTCCCAGCAGGAGGCCAGTCCCTGTGCTCCTCAGAGTCCCAGCAGGAGTCCAGTCCCTGTGCTCCTCAGAGTCCCAGCAGGAGGCCAGTCCCTTTGCTCCTCAGAGTCCCAGCAGGAAGCCAGTCCCTTTGCTCCTCAGAGTCCCAGCAGGAGGCCAGTCCCTGTGTATGTCTTGCAGATCCATGTTCTCTTCCGGGCGAATGACAACAAGCATTTGTGTGTCTCCGGAGTCGGGCCGTCAGCGACACTGGGGAAGCTGGGCATGAAGCTAACATCATGTTAGCATGATGTTAGCATGATGTTAGCGATCCGCTATCCAGCCGTCAGCTCTGACAAACTCTCTGTGATTGTTGCTCACAGGGACTCGTGACGGGAGACGTCACTCTGCATTCACATTAAAAAGACTGTTTCAAACTTAACTCAGAGCATTCTTCAGTCCAGCAAAGGCTCAAACATTTGGGAGTTATTTTTTTTTTGTATTCCTCCCCCATTTTGGGAATGGGGGAAGAATGGGTTAGCTCAGTTGTAACTAAGTTTAAGTGTATTGTTTATTTGGTCGGCACAGTCCATGTTTATGAACACATTGCTCCTGATTGTACCTTGGATTCATTTCCCTCCCACAGTCGTGCTCACACTCTCTCTCAATCACCCTGATCTATCGTACATGTTTTTTGTGATGGGGAAACCGGAGCACCTGGAGGAAACCTACATAGACACGAGGAGAACGTGCAAACTCCACTCAGAAAGACCCTGTTCTGACCGGGATTCGAACTCAGCTTGTACTTCATCAGTATCATTATGACACAACAGGAGAAAATAAAAATAAATGGTGTCTTTCTATGTGGGCGATGAAGCTTAGAAATAGATACTTTACTTTATAATAAACATTAGACAGAGAGAGAAGTTCTAGACCCTGGAGGCTACAGACAGAGCCGTGTAATTCTTAAACATAAAGAAGACAAAACAGACTTACAGAAGGGTCTTAGGACAGGACGATCCAGGACTTTTGTTTACATTTACAAACATAGGTCTCTGCCTCTTATGGACCAATGTCTCTGTGTTTTTAAATGTGTGATTCTCTGATCTGTGTTGGTGAATCAACAGCTTTGTAGAGTCCTCTGTGGTGACTACATTTGTGATTCAAGGCTAACCCAAATGAAATGGGATTGACCTGAACTGGGTACGTGTGTATCCACTGTATATTTGCACCAACACTAATGGTATTTGTGGGTAAATTGGAAACACAACAAACCTCTCATTTGTGGTGACTTTGGCTCCGCCCCCGAGTGCCTCACGTCGGTGCTAATGGGCCGTGATTGTTGATTGTTTGACCATCTAATAGTTGCACAAAACCCGGAGTAAACAACATGTCCACGATAGCACTGGACTAGACACACAAACTTCTTTCAGCTCCACACACACACACACACGCACACATACTGCATCTGCGACCAACCGGAGACCAGAGACACTTTGACATGACCCAGATAATAGCCCTAAAGTCTTGCCATCACAATTTGATCAATTTGTAGCTTCCTCCACAGCCGCAGCCGCCCTGCTGTCCCCCGGAGCGGCGGGAGTGGATGCCCAGCCAGGCAGATGCATCTCACTGCTGCTTTCTTCTTTTTCCACCAAATCATGGTTAAGTCTCATTGAAAGGCTGCTGCCGGACAACAACAAGCTCGCCCCGGTGTCATCCTGGAGCAGAGAGAGAGAGAGACGCTCTGACAGAATGTGCCGCACCATATGCTACGTGCCAACAACAGACGGATCCTGTGCCACTAGTTTAGGACCAAGAGCCCAGAGTTTAGTTATTCTGTGTGAAAAGAGAAAGAGACTAGAGAGAGCAGAGAGAGAGAGAGCAGAGAGAGAGAGCAGACAGAGAGAGAGAGCAGAGAGAGAGAGAGCAGACAGAGAGAGAGAGCAGAGAAAGAGACTAGAGAGAGCAGAGAGAGAGAGAGCAGAGAGAGAGAGCAGACAGAGAGAGCAGAGAGAGCAGAGAGAGAGAGCAGAGAGAGAGAGCAGAGAGAGAGAGAGCAGAGAGAGAGAGCAGAGAGAGAGAGCAGAGAGAGAGAGAGCAGAGAGAGAGAGCAGAGAGAGAGAGAGCAGAGAGAGAGAGAGCAGACAGAGAGAGAGAGCAGAGATAGAGACTAGAGAGAAGAGCAGAGAGAGAGAGAGAGAGCAGAGAGAGAGAGAGCAGAGAGGGAGAGCAGAGAGAGCAGAGAGAGAGAGCAGAGAGAGCAGAGAGAGAGAGCAGAGAGAGAGAGAGCAGAGAGAGAGAGAGAGCAGAAAGAGAGCAGAGACAGAGAGAGCAGACAGAGAGAGAGAGCAGAGAAAGAGACTAGAGAGAGAACAGATAGAGGGGGAGAGCAGAGAGAGAGAGAGCAGAGAGAGAGAGCAGAGAGAGAGAGAGCAGAGAGAGAGCAGAGAAAGAGACTAGAGAGAGAGCACATAGAGGGGGAGACCAGAGAGAGCGTAAAGAGAGAGAGCAGAGAAAGAGACTACAGAGAGAGAGAGACCAGAGAGGGAGCAGTGAGAGAGAGAGCAGAGAGAGAGACTAGAGAGAGAGCTGGGAGAGAGAGAGAGCTGGGAGAGAGCAGAGAAAGAGATAGCTCTGTGTTCTCTAGAGGGACTAGAGAGAGAGAGAGCAGAAAAAGAGACTAGAGAGAGAGCTCTCTGATTTCTGGAGGGACTTGAGCGAGAAAGACCTGAGAGAGAGAGACTGGAGAGAATGACTAGAGAGAGACCAGAGAATTGAACTGGAGAGAGAGCTCCAAGAGCGAGAAAAAAGAAAGAGCAGAGAAAGACCAGAGAGAGAGACCAGAGAGAGAGACCAGAGAGAGAGACCAGAGAGAGAGACCAGAGAGAGAGACCAGAGAGAGACTAGAGAGAGAGACCAGAGAGAGACTAGAGAGAGAGACCAGAGAGAGAGACCAGAGAGAGACCAGAGAGAGACCAGAGAGACCAGAGAGAGACCAGAGAGAGACCAGAGAGAGAGACCAGAGAGAGACTAGAGAGAGAGACCAGAGAGAGAGACCAGAGAGACCAGAGATGCAGAGCAAAGACATTACTTTTCTTCATATCTGGATTTATCAAGATTATTTCACATAAAAAAAAACCTGATCCACGTTCTCTCCCTCGTCGGGCTTCATCGAGCTAGTAGGTTAGCATTGAGCTAGTGGGTTAGCATTGAGCTAGTGGGTTAGCATTGAGCTAGCAGGTTAGCATTGAACAAGCAGGTTAGCATTGAACTAGCGGGTCAGCATTGAGTTAGCAGGTTCGCATCTAGCTAGTGGGTTAGCATCGAGCTAGCAGGTTAGCATTGAGCCAGCGGGTTAGCATCGAGCTAGCAAGTTAGCATTGAACTAGCGGGTTAGCATTGAGTTAGCAGGTTAGCATTGAGCTAGCGGGTTAGCATCGAGCTAGCCGGTTGGAATTGAGCTAGCGGGTTAGCATTGAGCTAGCAGGTTAGCATTGAGCTAGCGGGTTAGCATTGAGTTTGCGGGTTAGCACAGAGCTAGCGGGTTAGCATTGAGTTTGCGGGTTAGCACAGAGCTAGCAGGTTAGCATTGAGCTAGCGGGTTAGCATTGAGTTTGCGGGTTAGCACAGAGCTAGCGGGTTAGCATTGAGTTTGCGGGTTAGCAAAGAGCTAGCAGGTTAGCATTGAGCTAGCGGGTTAGCATTGAGTTAGCGGGTTAGCACAGAGCTAGCGGGTTAGCATTGCCCACCTACACACAGTCAGTAGCTTAGATAGAGGAATACTGTGACGTGCCTTAACTGTAGAAGTTTCTGGAACCACAGAAAGAAGCCGTTTCTGTCATATTGAGGCCTGTTCTCCGCCTCGTGGCCTGCAGACATGTCCGTCCTCGCGGCGCTCCTCACTCGTCGATCCACCTGTGGGGTCTTTCCTGCAGATTCTGGAATTCCAGGGCAGCTGTCAGTACCGAGGCCTTTCTGCACAAACCAACAAGAGGAAATGTGTCGGCGGCGGTGGGGGCCCGCTTTGATCTGCGGCCCCCGCGGACAGACGGCTCCTGCACCTGAGGCCGTCCCACACTTTGGACTAAACGAAGTTGTTTGTTTTGAGCCGTCAGAAATGTAAAGCTGAGAGTGTGGAGGCGCGTGGCGGGTTTGAGAGAGCGATCACAGAATGTAATCATGCATTAACTCTGAGAATGAAGGATGTGTGGAAACAGACTGAAGCAGGTGTGCTAATGAGTGAGCTGTCATCGGGTCCGGCCCTGGTCCTGTGAGGTCTGCTCCTGTGGGGAGGTCTGCAGAGGCCCCTGAGAGCCGAGGGGGCCAACACCAGGTCCACGAGCCAAGTGCGGCCCATTACAGCATTAGTGGCCCGTGATATGATTTTAGACTATTGCTGTCGACTTGAGGCTATGGTTAAAATTAGTTTTCATGTAAATTCAATGTATGTTAGTCTAGACTGAGGCTGTAGACCCAGGACTGAGGCTGTACATCAGGACTGAGGCTGTAGACCCAGGACTGAGGCTGTAGACCCAGGACTGAGGCTGTAGATCAGGACTGAGGCTGTAGACCCAGGACTGAGGCTGTAGATCAGGACTGAGGCTGTAGACCCAGGACTGAGGCTGTAGATCAGGACTGAGGCTGTAGATCAGGACTGAGGTTGTAGACCCAGGACTGAGGCTGTAGACCCAGTACTGAGGCTGTAGATCAGGACTGAGGCTGTAGATCAGGACTGAGGCTGTAGACCCAGGACTGAGGCTGTAGACCGGACTGAGGCTGTAGACCCAGGGCTGAGGCTGTAGACCCAGGACTGAGGCTGTAGACCCAGGACTGAGGCTGTAGACCCAGGACTGAGGCTGTAGATCTTGGACTGAGGCTGTAGACCCAGGACTGAGGCTGTAGATCTTGGACTGAGGCTGTAGACCCAGGACTGAGTCCGGATGAATAAACATGTAAATTATTTTATTCTGATATTATTGGTTAAAATCAATTCTGTTTTGCGGCAAACACTGAAAGCATTGTATCTTCACTCTTTTTTAACTGACTGTGATTATTTATGATTTTGATGCATTTTGTGATTTTACGTGCACTGTTCTTGTTTTGAGTTGCCTTGTGTTTGAACTGTTTTACACAAATAAACTGCCTGAAAATATCCACAGATTCAAAGCCTCCAACACATTCTTACTGTCCATGGAGATGTGTTCTAATCCTGCCCTGAACAAACTGAGCTTGTGATGCTAATATTAAAATGATAAAGTATTTAAAGTATTTCTCTTTGGTTCCGGCTGATTCTAAAGGTGGTCTCTCCCTCAGACCCTCAGACCCAGACTCTGGTCTCTCTCCGTCGGCAGCTGTCCGTCGACACCAAACACATGTGTCACTCGCCGCAGAGACTGAAAGTGAAAGTGGTTTTTCGCCTCAGCGCTCGCGTCGGACTCAGGCTTTGATGAAGAAGAAACCGTGAAACGACAGACGCCTCGAGCAGCGGCTGCGACGGCCGGACTCGGCGCCACAGGTGAGAGCGGCGAGGAGAGGATGACACGGTCTGATGGCACCGCAGGGACCAGACCAGGTGAGGATCCAGACCAGGTGAGGATCCAGACCAGCTGAGGATCCAGACCAGCGAGGATCTAGACCAGCTGAGGATCCAGACCAGGTGAGGATCCAGACCAGGTGAGGATCCAGACCAGCTGAGGATCCAGACCAGGTGGGGAGCCAGACCAGTTGAGGATCTAGACCAGCTGAGGATCCCGATCAGGTGGTGCTATGATCATGATGCTATGCTAACGATGCTATGCTAACGATGCTATTATAATGATGCTATTAATACGATGCTATGCTAACGATCCTATGCTAACGATGCTATGCTAACGATGCTATGCTAACGATGCTATGATAATGACGCTATGATAACGATGCTATGACTAAGATGCTATGATTACAATGCTATGCTAACGATCCTATGCTAACGATGCTATGCTAACGATGCTATGCTACCAGGCCCCTCCCTCTGTCTAATGTAAAGCTTTCAGTTCAGGTCAACAATAGGGCAAACACGCCGCTCTTCTTCTCCTAATGTCTTTATGCAAATGTAAATGGATGAAACAGAGGTGTGATATTTTATTCAGGGCGCTGGGGCCGGAGCACGGGGCCCCCATCTGTCCCTCATCTCAGACGTGAGGCGTGTCACGGGGGACGGCGGTGAGAGACAGGCCGCCACCCGACTCTGAGGCTGCTCCGTGTCACTCCGGCTGCATTAGCGTCACTCTGCAAAGACACAGGCGCAAATGGAAGCTGCCAAATGTGGAGTTCATCCATGTTTCAGCTGAACACGGACACCTAAAAGACCGAACAAGACTCATGTAGAAATGTGTTTGTGAGAAAACGGCGAAGCACGGAAGGTTCTTTTCATCTGCACAGATTATACACACTCCGGGTTTGAACAGGAGCAGATTGACACAATCACACTGGGCTTTTGAATCATAAATAATCACAGAACGTTAAGGTTCAATCCTTCAGTTGTTTACACAGATACAATAAATAGATCTGTTTTAACCTGGATTATAACATTGTCAGAGAAGAAGCCTGTCTAATATTTTCAGGAAGACTTTTCCCAATTTTTGCTCCATAAATCTGAAACGCTGCCTCCTCATAACTCTGGGACCAGCAGGAGGCCAGTCCCTGTGCTCCTCAGAGTCACAGTAGGAGGCCAGTCCCTGTGCTCCTCAGAGTCACAGCAGGAGGCCAGTCCCTGTGCTCCTCAGAGTCACAGCAGGAGGCCAGTCCCTGTGCTCCTCAGAGTCACAGCAGGAGGCCAGTCCCTGTGCTCCTCAGAGTCCCAGTAGGAGGCCAGTCCCTGTGCTCCTCAGAGTCACAGCAGGAGGCCAGTCCCTGTGCTCCTCAGAGTCACAGCAGGAGGCCAGTCCCTGTGCTCCTCAGAGTCCCAGCAGGAGCCCAGTAGTCATTTGTTGCTGTAGTTTTACTTGAGTATCGCCAGCTGTGATTGGTCGTTTGGTCATTTCTCTGATGAAGTCCCATTTATTTATTGAAATATAGATATTTTGTCTTGTCTTCTTTGTGACTCTCATGTTCTGATCCCTGCATCCACTCTTTCCTCTTGTAATTTCACATGTCACAGATGTACAGATGTTCAAGGCCCTGGACACACAGGAGCTGACGTCACCTCTGCACAGTTTTAAGTGTTTAAGTGCATCACCCAAATGATTCTCACACACGTGCAGAGGATGGCTGTGAAACATGAAGAAAAGCAAAATACAGGACCTTTAAAGTCTATTATTATTGATCTTATTCATTTTTCTGGCGCAGACTGGAGAGGTTTGCACATGTATTCCAATGTGGTTTTACTGCAAACGACCAAGAATCTGAATCTGAATCTCCTCTGAGCCACACGGAGCCAGAGCAGGGACCTGGACCTGGACTGATGCAATGACACTTCCTGGTTCCAGTCCTGGTTCCAGTCCTGGTTCCAGTCCTGGCCTCGAGCTGAACGCACCGCAGCTGTTTTATACACGTGCTTCAGAGCCGTTTGATGCCGTCCACGCCGCCGCAGACTCGCCATAACCCGGCTCCCCATGTGTCCCCAGAACTCATACGTTCCATTTGTTGTCTAAGCTTAGCAGATTCGGGGCACTCTGTCAGTAAAGAGAGACATCGCAGCCTGACTGAATGACAAGCTGCATTAGGGGTCAGCATTCTCAAAGGCCCACCAATTGGATCATTAGCCGTGAGGGACAGATATGGGCAAAGGATTTAGCCCCAGAGGTTGCGCCGGGGTCAAGAAGTTTCTGGCATTCCGGACTCTTAATCCCCAGCCCTCAGTCTGGAACGCCATCCTCCACCGCTTCACACACAAACTCAAGTGTAAAGTGAGTTAATGTGTGCGTGGGGCGCCGGGGCAGTAAACCAAAGCACACGTTAGCTTGGGTTCTTGGAGCTGTGTCTGTGGAAAAATCACCCTTTCTTCTTCTTGTTGCAGAACTATGGCTGGACTTTGGTGCAGAGTGCGACTTTGGGGTGGAGCAGAGTGGAGGCGATCTGTCAGGCTCAGCCATCGCCACCATTCATGTGTCAGCGTGAGAGCATGTGTACAGAGTATGTGCATGTTTTTGGGCCGTGTCGCCAGGACCGGGACATCCCAAACAAGAGAGGCATCCCAACTATTCCCCCAGACTATGTGACAGGACTATCTGACAGGGACCCAGCACTGCCCCGGGGACTGCTCTGCACCTCTCACAGTGTGCAGCCTCTCTCTCTAATACTTTAACTGTTTTACACCGTAGGAAAAGCCCAGTAAATCCCATGTAATAATAATAATAATAATACATCGGTTTCATAAAGCGCTTTTCAAAAACTCAGGACACACACACACACATCCAGACAGACACACACACACACACACACACACATTTAGACAGACACACAAAACTAAGAATCTAAAAGCAGGAAAGAAGAATAAAAATCTCCAGAGGTGAGGGGGGAGAGAGTTCCAGAGGTGAGGGGGGAGAGAGTTCCAGAGGTGAGGGAGGAGAGACTTCCAGATGTGAGAGGGGAGAGAGTTCCAGCGGTGAGGGGGGAGAGAGTTCCAGACGTGAGAGGGGAGAGAGTTCTCCCCTCAGAGAATATGTGGACTGAAAACCTGCTACTATTGCCACTACTGCTAAGACCAGAGCGAGTCCGACCCTGCTGCTGAGACCAGAGTGAGTCCGACCCTGCTGCTGAGACCAGAGTGAGTCTGACCTGCTGCTGTAAACTGAGGAATCTGGTTGGTGAGAGAGCTTCCTTCTGTCGGTAATGACCCCCCCCCCCCCCCCCCCCCCCTCACTTCCACTAAACCAAACAGAGCCAAATAAAACACAGGGAAACATAATGTAGGAGCATGTCTGAAACCTGAGCCTCTCTGTACCAGCCATTAGGACACGCGGAGCTCGGCTTGGGTTCCCAAGAGCCGCAGGGTCCATATGTCGCCCTCGGAGAGCGCAGGGGGACGGGGAGAGGTCCCAGCAGGAGGCCCCAGAAGGAGGTCCCAGAAGGAGGTCCCAGCAGGAGCTAAGTCTCCGGCCCCGGGCCCTCGGTGTTTCATTCATGTCCCTGTGGAGAGAAGGTTACGTGTGATCAGCTTCATTGAGTAGACTCAGACTATAATAATAATAATTATTATTATTATTATTATTAATATTATTATACTAATAATAATACATTAATCTTATATAGCGCTATTTTGGACACTTTTCAAAACAACAAAATAACCATTGAAGAAAAAAATGAAGCCTCAGTCCTGGGTCTACAGCCTCAGTCCTGCTCTTGAGTGACAGGTCCAGAATGTGCCATGGAGACCAGAGGACATGTAGCACCACACACACACACACACACACACACACACACACACACAGACACACACACACACAGACGCACACACACACGCACACACACATACACGCACACACACACACACACAGGTCAGGTGTGCGGCTCAGTGGAGGGTGTGAAATATCTGCAGCGTCGTCTCCTGTCGATGGTGACTCAAACTTGAGAAACATGTTTGGTATTTCTCATGCCTCAGCGGGACGCACTGATCTCGCGTTCTCGTCCTCCACGGAGCTCTCAGAGACGCATATAGAGAAGACATACATACTAATTATTTATCGTGTTAATCTTACACTGTCTGGTCTCCGGTATGTCGCTCTGGTACTGCTCCCTAGTCCCTCTCTGGTCTCTGAGGCCTTTTTCTCTGGTCTCTCTCTCAGGTCTCTCTCTGGTTCCTCTCCCTAGTCCCTCTCTGGTCTCTCTCTCTAATCCCTCTCTGGTCTCTCTCTCTGGTCTCTCTCTCTAGTCCCTCTTTGGTCTCTCTGCTCTCTCTTTCTGGTCTCTCTTCCTAGTCCCTCTCTGGTCTCTCCCTCTGGTCTCTGGTCTCTCTCTGGTCTCTCTCTCTGGTCTCTGGTCTCTCTCTGGTCTCTCTCTCTGGTCTCTCTCTCTAGTCCTTCTCTGGTCTCTCTGCTCTCTCTTTCTGGTCTCTCTTCCTAGCAGTGGCGGAGCCAGACTTTTAAACAGAGGGTGGCCAGGGGGTGGCAAGGGTTTTTTTAAGGGGTCCACATTTATACTATTCCGAAATTTAATTTCACACAAAAACTGGCTAAACGATACATTTTAATCTTAATCTTGTCATTATTTTTAATATAAAGTGAACTGAGAACACACTTGGAAACTACAAAGAAAAAAAGTGTATTTAAACAGTAGTCTGAACAAAAAAGTGCAAAATAACATAATTCAAACATTGCATTACATTTTTCTTTTAACAAATTTTGCAAATTCCTACGGTTCTGGTATAAAGCAGCAAAGATGTTGACAAACTCATGCATATTCAGCCCTCCTTGACTCTACACTGAGGATACCAAGATGACTCAATCATCTGCCATGGTCGTTCTGAGATGGTTTTTAATAAGTTTTAGGACAGAGAAACTAATTTCACAAGACGCAGTACTGACAGGTATTAAAAAGACCTTTGCAAGCCTCAAAAGCTCATGAAACACTTTCCAAACGTTCCAAAAGGACAAGGAAGTCCAACAGGGACTCTCTAATCCATTTTTTCCTCCCAAGAAGCCACCTAGTTTGACGTACCTCATGCTTAAGGTCCTCTATATCTGACTCAAAGGTTCTGCCAAATGAAAACAGGGGCTCTTCTTTCTAAAATCTTTTGGGGTCAAGCGACTGCACATCATCCATAATCTTAGCTATTTTTGTTCTTTTTTTGTGTGTGAAAAAACGCCTTCTGCCAATAGACAATCTTGCACCTGTCTGCGACTCCCTCTCATCCTCTGAAACTGAATAATGTAAGCTATATTTGAATACAACACAACAAATTCCTCATCATCTCAAAACATACTGCCTCCGAGTCTGACCTTCAGGTTTCATCATCCTGATCTACAGCCTTTTCTTGACAAAAAAAGACGCAATGTCTCCTCCTTTTCTTTTCATGTTTACACTAAAGGGAAGAGGGCGATGATACGATGGGCAATTAATAATGGAAAATACACACGCACACACACACTGGCACACACAGGCACGCACACACACGCACACAGGCACGCACACACGTACACAGGCACGCAGACCCACACTGGCACACACAGGCACGCACACACGTACACAGGCACGCAGACCCACACAGGCACGCACACACACGCAGACACACTAGCACGCTGACACACGCACACAGGTGCGCATACAGGCACGCACGCACACATACACACACTAAAAGTTCTACAAACTGAACAAGTAATGCGCTGCAGTACGTGTGTCTATACTTTGTGTCAAATATAAACGGTTGGCTCTGCATCGCTAACTTACCTCTTTGTTTTCATCACGACTTGGGCACACCTGAGTCCAACAACCCAAAACATTAGCATCCAGCACCGGCTCCACACGGAGTCAGGGTGCGTTCACAGACGGGGGAAACCGAGGGAATTGTTAGCTTTTGGCGGAAAAAGTGCGGAAGATTCTCCAGATTAACAATATTACATTGCCGTCTTCCGAGGGGGGCACTGGGGGTGGCAAGGGTATTTTTAGAGGTGGCAGTGGCCACCCTGGCTACCCCTCTGGCTCCGCCACTGCTTCCTAGTCCCTCTCTGGTCTCTCCCTCTGGTCTCTGGTCTCTCTCTCTCTGGTCTCTCTCTCAGGTCTCTCTGCTCTCTCTGGTCTCTCTCTCTGGTCTCTCTCTCAGGTCTCTCTGCTCTCTCTGGTCTCTCTCTCTAGTCTCTCTCTCTGGTCTTTCTGGTCTCTCTCTGTAACTGTAAATATAACATTAATAAATCCAGTGAGCTATACCATGCTAACAAAGCATGTGTCCACAGCCCGAGCCTGTGTCGTAATGTTATGGTCCAAATGATCTTAAACCCCAGACCTGACAGTGTGTATGTGTGGGACTAAAAGTAGCTAAAAACCTGACAGTGTGTTAACCTTGCCTGCAAGCTGAATTCTCGCGGTATTTGTGAGTTCACAAACACTCGAGAATACATCTTGTACCGCTCCCGCTTACACTTTTCGAGTCGAACCACTGGGTGTGCGAGCCAATCACGCGCCAGTCTGGGGGTTTAGGGGCGGGATATCCGGGTTTGACGAAAGCAAGAAGTGCCGGGCCGAAGCAAAACAAACATGGCTACGCAGGAGGACGGACGCGTAGCTGAGGCTATCAGGTCAGTTTTAGCAGAATCTCCAATTTCTTTTTTGAAAGATGAACAGCGAGAGGCGCTTTGTGCATTTCTGGACGGCAAAGATGTTTGTGCATTTTTATCTACGGGTTTTGTCAAACCTTGGTAGGCGGGAAAACAGCGTCACTTCGCCCAATCAGCTTCAAGTATTCTGCTGCTTATCCCTCCTTTCCCCGAAAGGATTCTCCGGGAGAAATCCCAGATTGATATCGCGGAGAACGCGTTAGAGTTCTACACAATCATCAATCTGGCTCTTGCCAGGTTAACAGTGTGTATGTGTGGGACTAAAAGTAGCTAAAAACCTGACAGTGTGTATGCGTGGGACTAAAAGTAGCTAAAAACCTGACAGTGTGTAAGTTTCGGCATCACAAGTATAGCAATACCTGTTAAGTTCCCAGAAGTATAGTAACAATCTGGTGTGGGACATTGTTTGTGAAATGTTGGATTTTGACGTGATATTACTGTTCAGGACCTCCAGGGGGCCATGCCTGATTTTTTTTGCTGCTGTAAACCCTACAGAAAGGCTGGGTCCCACAATGCATGTCCTGGTCTGGTGGTCCCACGAGATGATAAAAACAAGTATGTGTGTGTGTGTGTGTGTGTGTGTGTGTGTGTGTGTGTGTGTGTGTGTGTGTGTGTGTGTGTGTGTGTGTGTTACATGCTGCAGACTGACTGAAAGGAGTTGTGCAGCATGGATCAAGTTGTGCACCCCCTCAACCCTGATTAGCATTTGTATAGCTCACAGCATTGCCATTTACATGTTAAAGCTTCCTGTGGAGGAGGGAGGAGGGGACAACAAACTACCGTCAACAGCCGAATCCCAGAAGTTTCACAGTAATATACAGGGCCGAAAAGAGACAAAAATCACACTTTTCATGCAGTGGAACTTATTTGTTACTGGGGGGGAGGGGATATATTTTCACTACACCATTCAGATTGATAAATTAGCCATAAATACAGTGTTTTATTTTAACATTAATATCTAATCATCTACCTACTCATTCAAATGTAAATGTACCTTCGTTTAGAAATAAATTGAAATGAAAGAGTTCTTCAGTTCTTGGCACTTTGATGAATCTCTTGATGAATCTCTTAATGCCTCCATTCTCCACTTTGACCAGCATTTTCTGCACAACATAAAGCAAGAAATATGTATTACTTTGTCAAGTCAACAGACTGCTCACCATCCACAAATGGCAAGTCAAGAGGTATCAATACGATGACACATGGCCTTCATGCATTCCAGAAATGTTAGTTTAATTGATAAGCATACACACTTTAAGAGGAATTTGGACTCAAAGTTGACAGAAGTTCACGGAACTGATGTATGCTTTACATTCATGGTCCGTCACAATTGTTGCACAGCATTTATACAATTTTAATGTAGTAGATGTAAAGTTTCAATAACTAAGAGGCTGTCGTAACAATCATAGCACTCCTCCGGATGGACCTGTGAGCGCACTGCGTCTTATCACATGAATTATATTCGCCACAACCCCGAAATACATCTGGAACGACATATAAAAGGTATGTGGCCATGTGCCACCACATAAAGTACGGTATGCTAGCCACGCATACTTAACATAGCCTTATCACAAAATTATAATAAAACAAAATCAGGACTCACAATATCATCAACAGTTAAATGGAATGATATTTTTCATAGTAACCCAAAACCAATTTAATCTTCAAAAACTAGTTTTTGGCTTACTGAAATTAGCTAGCTACACAATTCGCTTTAGCGACGCGCTAAACAATTGTAAATCAACAATGTAATTTCAAGCAATGTATAAAGTAATGTTACAGATACACAGTTAACTTTAAAAAATAAGCAATTAGGTTTACT